ATGATAAAGCATTAAGTGACTATAATCAAGCAATCCAACTTGATACTTAATGTGTTAATGCTTATTATAATAGAGGTGAATGCTATTTTACTTAATATATTAGCTAAATTATATAAAGCTATTGGTGAAAAAGATAAAGCATTAAGTGACTATAATAAAGTAATCCAACTTGATCCTAAATATGTTAATGCCTATAATAACAGAGGTGAATGCTATTACACTTAATTTATTAGGCAATTTATATGATGATATTGGTGACAAAGATAAAGCATTAAGTGACTATAATCAAGCAATCCTACTTGATCCAAATGATCCAATATCCTATAATAATAGAGGTGAATACTATTACACTTAATTTATTAGGCAATTTATATGATGATATTGGTGACAAAGATAAAGCATTAAGTGACTATAATCAAGCAATCCTACTTGATCCAAATGATCCAATATCCTATAATAATAGAGGTGAATACTATTACACTTAATTTATTAGCCATACTATATAAAGCTATTGGTGAAAAAGATAAAGCATTAAGTGACTATAATAAAGTAATCCAACTTGATCCTAAATATGTTAATTCCTATTATCACAGAGGTGAATACTATTACACTTAATTTATTAGGCAATTTATATGATGATATTGGTGACAAAGATAAAGCATTAAGTGACTATAATAAAGTAATCCAACTTGATCCTAAATATGTTAAAGCCTATTATAACAGAGGTGAATGCTATTACACTTAATATATTAGCCATATTATATAAAGCTCTAGGTGACAAAGATAAAGCATTAAGTGATTATAATCAAGCAATCCAACTTGATCCAAATGATGCAAGATACTATAATAACAGAGGTGAATACTAATACACTTAATATATTAGCCATATTATATAAAGCTCTAGGTGACAAAGATACAGCATTAAGTGATTATAATCAAGCAATCCAACTTGATCCAAATGATGCAAGATACTATATTAACAGAGGTGAATACTATACACTTAATTTATTAGGCAATTTATATGATGATCTTGGTGACATAGATAAAGTATTAAGTGACTATAATCAATCAATTTAACTTAATCCAAATGACTCAATAGCCTATTTACAAAGAGGTGAATACTATTACATCTTTAGGCAATTTATATGATGATATTGGTGAAAAAGAT